GTCGCTGAACATCCCCGGCGCGGGGTCTTGGGCATTCCGCCACGACGTCAGCGCCTGGTACTCGCCGGTGAGCTTGTTTTCCCCGACCCACGCCTCCGGCACCTGCGTGTCCGTCGGGTGGTCGAAGCTCTGCCACAGCACGTTGGAGGAGTTGCCGCCGTCGACAAGGACCAGGTTGCCGTTGTCGTGGATCTCCGCCGTGTTGTTTGAGCCTGGCAATAAGGAAGAAGACATGTTTGAAGACCACACGACCATGGGCGTGGCGGAGGCACCGGTGGGACCGACGAGCTCGAGGTTGCCGTCGTCGGTGGACACACGGAGCTCGGCGGAGGCGAGGCCAGACAGAGGACTCGCGCGGTTGCCGACCCAGATGACGGTCTGGCCAGGGATGTTCTTGTACCAGATCCCGAGGTAGAACCTGTCGCCGGAGCTGCCACCAGGGGTGAAAAGGCCGAGCTCGAACTTGCCCTGTGCGGAGACCAGCGTGTCGTTGCCCCGCAGCGGACGGCGCACCGAGACTGTCGCCGCTGCACCCACTGCTGTTGTGAAGCAAAAGGCAAGGGCTACGAAAGCGGCCATGACGATCAGCGACGACATGGTAGAGCCGTTACGTTTGCCGGCGAATTCTCAATGGAATTTGCAGGCAGGTAGGAGGAAGTATGATCTCTCTCGGCGACCCCGGCATACTGATAACCTATATGACTTCTACTTTTCCTGTATTCTAGAGTTACAGACTAGTAGTTTGATTGCATGGCTGGTGTGGCCTTGAACTGGTCCGCGGCTTGAGCGGCCACGGTGTGCTCCACGTACTACATCTACTGATTTGTGGAAAAAATTCGGTGGAGATGGGAAACGCCGCTGATTTAGTTGAAAATAATTCGGTGGAGACAGTACGCAACGCAAGCATCCCTCCCTCCGTCCACGCCACATCCTGCTCCGTCGGCTCCGGCAGCTGGAAGACGTTTCGTTCTCACTGGCCAAACAAATATGTGTCTGAGGCATTTGCTATGACACAAGCTGTTTCTATGGCGGCGGACATGGGCGTGACTCGGGTGATCTTCGAGACTGATTCTCAGCTACTACAGGAAGCCCTGGATGTGCACAAGGCGGACTCGTCGGCATACTCAGCAGTTATTGAGGACACTAAGTATCAAATGAAGATGTGGTTTTCAAAATTGGGAGTACCTAGAACTCATCTAGATGAGATATAATATGGTCTCATTCACTTTGAAAACAAGAACAAATACAACCCACGTCAGCACACACGCATCTTATAGCATCATATCCAATGGCTATAAAAGATGAATGAGACCAAACTATATCTCATCTAGATGAGTTCTAGCAAAATTGTTCAAAATTTGTAATCTCTGTCTGTAGGCGCAATGCCAACTCTGTCGCTCACGAGCTGGCTACTTTGGGTCGCTCCTGTGAACCAAATAGACTTGTAGAATGGGAGTCGGATGTACCAGCCCATGTGACTGATTGTGTTCTGGGTGATTTACCACAGCACCGTTAAGTTATAAAGCATTTGCTTTGCCCTAAAAAACAAATATGTGTCTGATTTATCAGTTTTACAAATTTCATTATACTAGAACTTATTATGTGTTTTGGTGTGATGCTTGCTACTAAGTTGTAACTAGTATAGTGTGTTCATCATGGACATGGAGTACGTGAGTTCGGATATGGACATGGAGTATGTGAGTTCTGATGACCAATAAATTCGGGAGAAATAGTATTGAAGTCAAAAAAAAAATGAATTTCGTTTTGCAAGAAACATTGATGTTTTTTCCACATGAAAATCACAATCGTGGATGTGAAATCAAATGCTCCAAAAATAGTGTTTTTTGGAGCATCGATTTTTTTGCCCACACCAGCATAAATATGATTTCATTGCAAAATTTTGCACGTGTGTGGAAAAAACATCACTGTTTCTTGCAAAAAAAATCAGTTTTTTTTAAAAATGCTTTTTTTCTTCTTCAGAATTTGTTGTTCACCCAAGCTTTGGTGAGCTCGAGCTCACAGTAACACTTTCGATTCATTGTGTACTACTCCCTCCGTCCTGAATTACTTAGTGCTAGATATATCCATTTGAGCCACAAGTAATTCGGGACGAATGGAGTATATACTAAGAAGGGTTTGGTCAGCCCTTTGAATATCTAGCATTTATACATAATCTTAGCGAAAAGTTGTTGCCCAGGTCGAGCTCCATGGAACCCCTAATCCAGCCACCCGTTTTCTGCATCGTGATTGGCATAGACACTTTTCGCTTCATTGTTTACCCCAAGTAAAATAACATATGAACTTCAAACTATGCAGAACAACAAAACATTCTAACTATAATGTTGGAAAAAGCTTTCAGATTTTTTCATGCATCATAAATACTAATTGTTCATAGAGGTGAAGAAAATGGCACCTCTCCTACGCCAATAGGGTTTTTTTTGTGAAAAGGTTATATTTCGAGGGTGTTTCTAGAAAAAACAAGCCACACACGCCCTTCTCCTGGCCCAGTGGCTGACAGCAGGCCCCATGCGCCTAGTCAGCGCGGGTTCCGTATGCAAAAATGAGATAAGCACTGTATTTGCACGTCAAAGAGAAGTTTTTGCACCATTTTGATGTATGCCACAACTTCTAGCATCAAAGTGACCCGTTTGCGCCCGCCAAGTACTAGCACCACTGGTGTAATTGACTCCTGCATGGTGGCAGCAGGACTAGAATTAGTGTGCAACAGCCTGAGAGCATGTCTTTAGGTTGTCCACTATAGGAGAGAACATCATGGGGAGGCACATAGTAGACCAGCACAGGAGAGGATCGAGACGACGAGCGGGTGGCGAGCTTGCTCCGTGCATAATGGCAGGTGCAACCATCGGATGGGATGGCAGACCTGCATGGTCAATCTCGCGGTTGTGGAAGGTCACTGGCAGAGAGAGCCGAGGAGGCAAGGGGAAAGATCAAACGTGGAGTTGTGTTGGGGGCAGGCGAGATGGGGATGAGGGTCGGGTTGGTCGGCACGGCTGAGATTAATACGACATTTAAAATTGAACACGAATATCTTGGGACCATCAGGTAGGGAGGAGGAGTCCTCTTACTGGCGGCAAAAGCCCCTCCTAGGCCGGCCAACAAAACACGATGTTCGCTCGATGCCTCGATCATCGTAGCTTCGTTCGATCGCAATGAAGCTTGGTTCACTCGATCAACCATTAGCCGGTCAAACATTAACAATTTGACCGTTGAGTTTTAGAAACATAGATATCATTTTTTTGTAAATTTGAAGACATTGCATGAATATGATGCAAGACACAAATTTGAAATAAAAGTTCACTCATTCAAAAAAATCACAAAATTTGAAAAAGTTCATGAATGTGAAAAAGTTCACGGGTTTGAAAAATATCCACGGATTTGAAAAAGGTTCATGGATTTGAGAAAAGTTTGCGAGTTTAAAAAAAGTTTGCGGATTTTTAAAAGGTCACATATTTTGAAAAAAAAATTCATGAAATTCCGAAAAAAGGATGGGTGTTATGGAGGCAAGTCGCCAAAAAAAATCCTTAACTGACACCGTCAAAAACCTAAATTATTAATTGTCCCATAATATATATTTGTTTATAATAGGTGGCTTCTATTTTCTGTCAGATAGGATAGGATTCTGCGCGCTGGGCCCTACAGGTGTCCATATTTTGGTTGACCTAAGCGTATATACTATGTTATTCGGTCGTAATATTTTGATACCAATAATGCCACATCGACGAGCTTGTTACAACAAGTTTAAAGGACTCTTCCTATAGTTCTGTCCATCACCCTTGAATTTCAGCTGGTGAGGGCCCTTCATGCCAACTTGCCAAGTCAAACCCATCCCGTAGAATGTCCGTAATGATCCATCGATGTAGCCTTACTCTTGATACCTTCTTTCGCTCTTCCATCAGAAATCCATAGTTCCACACAAGAACCTGTTATGCGGCAAAGTGGCAGTTGACTATAGTGATTGGTTGCGGGTGTAGGTAGGGTTAAATGGGACAGTTATAGTTGCACCCTCATACTAGTATACATGTACCCTCTATCCACACCGTCCATTTTTCATCAAAGTTTGTGGAAGGAAATTTTTCTTTTTTGTTTCTTCCAAATAAAGGCACATCACACCTGAAACTAAACTACACATAAAATCAACGGCTTCTCACTCATCTAAGCTGAGGTAGTAGGCCTTAGCGGATTTGCGGAACGCGTTGGCGAGTGTGTTCTCCTCCTTGGCGGCGAGGAGACGTTCGGCAGTGCCTTCTTCTACGGCCAACACCACACGCTCCACGACGGTGAGCACCGCAGTGGCTTCCCATCACCGCTTGATGTGCAGGAACAGGTTGTCGTGGCCGCCCCGCCCGCTGCTGCAAAAGAGACGGCCACGGCCGCCTGCCAGCTTGGACCGCCACTGCATTGCGACCGCGGGCTGGCAGGAACTGTCGGCCTCCGCGTCATGCTAAGCGAGCTTGCGCGGCGGTGACCCACCATACCCGCGAGCAGCACCGACCATGGAGGAGGAGAAAAAACGGCGGAACGACGGCTGGATTTGTCGTCAAAGGCTGGGATGGCTAGTGGCGAAGTGGGTGATTTTTGCGGCAGGGGGATAGGGTTTGGTAACCCTAAATCCTGGCCAGGCCCGTATATATAGCTCTGGAAGGATGGTTATGTGGGCCGCCTGGAAAAAATTTATGGGCCAGGCTAAGTTTACCGGATCTATTCGGGCCGAAAAATAGAAAGATCCCGGAACAGATGAACTTTTTACGGGGTTTGTTATAGATGCTCTAAGAATAGCAGGAATCTTAACACAAATTGAATGGTCTAGATAGAGTATACAAAAATCGAGGTCAAATCCCACGGTCATTGCAAATACATAGGCCCTTCCCGTCTGCCGAGGTGTCTAGAAGGCGCTTTTGGTTCCACACAGTCCCTCGTAGCGAACAAGCGTTGCATCCCCGGAACCCTAAACCCCAACCCCCCGAAGCAAGACGAGATACATGGGGCGGCGGTACTCAGCGAAGGGAAAGAAGAAGAGGAAGCTCGAAGACGGCGCGACGTCCCGTGACGACGACGCAGCGGAGTTACCACCACCGGAGGACGACGAAGGGAAGGTAGAGGAGGATGTGACGGAGGAGGACGAGACCGTGGAGGTCGTAGCGGAGGGGATTCCCGTCCTGCCCCGGCCGGTAGATGGGAGGAAGCGGCCCAGGGCGATCTTCGTGCTCGAGAGGGCCTGTCTGGAGGTCGGCAAAGTCGGCAAGGTATCCTGATTCCTCTGTTATTTCTGTTGGTTTCACAGCTCTGGCCCACGCGAATCAATCCTGACGGATGTACTTTTGCTTCCCCAATTAGAATTCTGATGTTAACTGTGATTTCTACTGTCTTGGAAGAAGTCATCTTAGGGCATCTCCAGCCGTTGGCCCCTCAGGAGGGGCAAAAAGTCGCCCCCTGGGGGCGCATCGGCGCTAAACCGCGCACTGGGGGCGTGTTGTCCCCCAGTCGCGGCGCCCACGGTAGTCAAAGAAGTCCAAAACGACTCAATTTTAACACAAACAGCGCCGAGTTCAAACTTAAACTTAAACATATTTCGTCCAAACTTAAACATATTTTACAAAAAAGAAAGAAACTACCGCGGGCTACCCCCGCCGTCTCCCTCGCCGCCCGCCTCGTCGCACGCCCACGCGATTCTACATGCCGAGGAGGCTGTAGAACCGCGTGTAGTCACCGCCGTCGCCGCCGTCGTCGTCGTCGTCGTCGTCGTCGTCGTCGTCGCCGCCCCCACCTACGCCTCCGCCGTCCCTGCTGCATCCCTCCCCCGGTTGGCGCGGCGGGTTGGACGGTCCGGGGGCAGCGTCGTCGTCGTCGTCGTCGCTGTCGAGGACCACGACGCCGTGCTCGTCCTCGCGCCCACGCTTGCGGGCGGCGATCTCCTCCAGGGCCCGGCGTTGCCGGACCGTCTCGTCGCGGAGGTAGTCCTCCCGCGCCCACCGCATGGCGTCCTCGTCGGAGAAGCCGCGCCGGGCTATCTCCTCGTACTCCGCGGGGAGGCCCGGCTCCGGCTTGGGCTCGACGAGGACGAAGCGGCCGGTGGGTGGCGGGGCGTTGGCGCCGATGCGGACGCCGGAACTGCGGGTCTCCATGCGCCTCGGTGTCCAGGAGCTTCCCCGGCGGCGTGAGAAGGAAGGGGGATCGGGGTACTCGAGGCGCGGCGTGTTGCCGCCCTCGATGTACTCGAGGACAGCCTCCAACGTGCGCCCGGGCACGCCCCACCACCGACGCCGGCCGGCGGTGTTGAGCCTGCCGGAGGGCACGACGCCGTTGGTGGCCTCGAGCTGCTGGGCGTGACGGCGGCGGAAGTACGGTTCCCAGAGCGGGTTGTCGGGGACGTACCTTGGCCCCTCCCTCGCCGCACGCGGCAGGTTCAAGCGGATGCGTGCGATCTCCGCACGCCGCGCCATGCCGGTGGGTACCGGGGGCACCGGCACGCCGCCCGCGCTGATCCTCCACGCCTCCGGCACCCGCATGTCCGGCGGGACCGGGTACTCGGCCTCGTAAAGGAGGCGAGCCTCGTCTTCATGAAGATGGCGGCGGCCGAAGCCGTTCGCCGCCGCGCCGTCGCCTGGGAAACGCTCGGCCATGGGTGTGAACTGGAGACGGCGAAAGAGAGGAGAGGAGAGGGAGGAACGACGACGACGGGAGAGTGTGCGAGCCGACGAGTGCGTCGGGGCGTGGCATATATAGGCCGAGGCGCCGCCCACGCGCGTGCCACCGTGTGTACGCGTGGTGGGCGAGGGAGGGCGAGGGACGCGCGTCGTCCGGTCTTCACTGCGCCGCCCGTGAGGCATCAATGGCGCAGGCTGACCGGCGCGGCAGCGCGCGGCAGCTTTGGCATTGATTCACCGCGGGAAACGAGGCGATGCGGACGAGGAAGAGCCGAGAAGAGAGCCGTGTCGCTGACGCGGTGGGCCCGCGGCTTTTTCGCGCCAAAACAGTTCGCTCGGCGCCCCCGGGCGCCCCCCAGCGCGCCGGGTTCGGGCTGGATCCGTCGGCGCTGTTTTCGGCCCAAGCCAGCGAAAATCGGGCTCCTGGGGGCGCGACTGGGCCGTTTTTTCGGCGCCGGCGCGGAAAAAACGCCTGGGAAGGCCTTCGGGGCGTGGCTGGAGATGCCCTTAGGAGTTCCACTAGAGTTGGAATCTTGAGTATCAGCAATAATCCTATTTTTTAGTGTATCAATTTTACCGGAAAAAGTAAAGCAACAATACACAATCTGATTCCGTAGTTTTCAAAATTCGGGTGCTCCAAGGATAATTAAATTGACTGTATTTATTGTCCCGCAAAAAAAGATTGTTTCATTCTTTAATCTTTGGTGCCTATCGTGTGTATGGGTAGGCTGGTCCTGAAACTCCTGATTAGTTGTTTATGTGGATGTAAAATTAGTGGCTGCTAGGATGTAAAGTGCAAGTGCTTTCTATACCAATTTGATAATTTATATAGTGGTCAGTTTTTCCTACCAACACTCTGATGATTAAATTGATCAATATGTTTTTCACCAAACAAATGTTCCTTCTAATTTTGTGTAGACTATGCAAATCTTGAACTCGGACGATCATGCGAATTATTTGAGGAAGCACAATCGGAATCCTGCTGATTATAGGCCTGATATCATTTACCAGGTATTGTAAATTCGTGTTTTTTTAATTTCTTTGGACTACTAAGGGCATATGGTTAGAAAGCTTTTCTGTTTATCTTCCATTTAGTAATCTGTGTTGTATACTCTTATTGTAAGGAAATCAGACTCAGAATTTTCTGTAGTGTACTGTCTCTCTCTCTCTTCTCTCTCCCCATAGATGATGCATATATGCGTTAGCAATTTTCTTCTCCTTTTGTGGTTGACCACTGTTTGGGCCTGCAAATTGAGGATCTCTATGAGAACCTGAGTTGGTTGTTAGGTTGCCTTGAAAAGTGCTCTTTATGTGATTGCAAAGTACTCCCTCGATCTGAAAACTAATATAAGACCTTTTAGATCACTACTTTAGTGATCTAAAAGCTCTTATATTAGTTTACAGAGGGAGTGCATTTGCATACTATGACAAAAGAAAAGTTCCATGGAGCCAGCCAATCATTTACCTCTTTCCTTCCTGATTTGTTTCTAAAAGTTAACTTCTTGAATTTTCTTCCAAATTGTTGTGCAGGCTCTATTGGCAATATTTGATAGCCCTCTAACTAAGGCTGGGAGGTTACAAGCTGTTTATGTAAGGACTGAAAAGGGGGTGTTATTTGAGGTCAAGCCGAATGTTCGCTTGCCACGCACGCCCAAAGGTTTTTGTGGGTTGATGTGTAAGTTACGAATAGCAGAAGAGTAAACACTGTGCATCTTTGTGTTTCTATCCTGAAATTGTGCTGAAGTGCAAGTAATTTATATGACATTGCAGCACAGTTATTGCAAAAGTTGAGCATTACTGCTGTTGGGAGGCGTGAGAAGCTGCTTAATCTTATTAAAAATCCTGTTACCCAGTATCTACCTGTTGGCTCACGGAAGATAGGTGAGAATTTCTACTGTATGATATTAGTAAAAGAAAAATATTTACCAGTTGGCTCACGGAAGCTGATTGATGTCTATTTGCTGCCTAGGCCTTTCATATAGCGCCGATAAGTCAGTTGAACTGAATGACTATGTTGCTGAATGCAGTGATGATGAAGCCCTTGTGTTTGTGGTGATTAAAAACTGTGCTATTTTGTAGCTTTGTCCCATCCTCTGTTACCGTCTGGTGCCTAAATCCATCTCCTCTGTACAATGTTCCAGGTTGGTGCCATGGCTCATGGAAAGATTGACAATGAATACACAGATGAGTACATACGGAGTAAGTTATCATATATGATCTTTTGGTGTGAAAAGTGTATTGTGTCCTGAGAACTACCTAATATTCCCTCCATACAACCGTATCTAGATAAATCTAAGACAAGAATTTTGGGACGGAGGGAGTACATTTTAGGGTTTTTTCTGTATTTCCTCTTCTCATTGAGAGGTGCTTCGGTGCACCTCCCTTCAAAACATTGAAAAGGGTATCATTATCCATCCGCATAAGTCAGAAAGTTAATCTCCTAAATCTCGATTAAAAAGTAATTAACCAGGCTTAATTCCGGTGAAAATTCATGGTCTAATTGAGTACGTAGAGCCCAAACAGAACCCCAATTAGTTCGCTGTTCCAAAAAGAACAGCTCTGCTGGTCGTGCGCTCTGCCCCTCTGCGGTTTGCACGCGAGCCTCCATAGGAAGGATCTTCGTCTCCTGCCGTAGGTGAGGCCGCATCTTGAGTGATGGGGGGCTGCCAGGGTACATGACCGCGTGGAGCGGCATTCAGGAGATGCCCTCGCCCCAATCACACCAACAAATTCCAGTGGCAGCAGCAGCAGAAATTAGGGATTAGAAACAGAAACCGTAAACAAGAAGAGACGGCAACCGAACAAATCGAGGTCCTGGGTGGGTCCTCACGAGGGAAATCTAAGCTTATAACTTGGAAATTCCATCCCTCTCCTGGATGCTTTTAAGTAGTTCACAAGTATAAGCTTAGATTTTGCAGTTTCTTTGGATGGACAAGTAGGTAATTATATTATGTCTCAAGGTGTACTACACTTTCTCATTTTCTTGAGTATTGTCTTCAAATTATATTTATTGTATTTATGATGCATATATTTTCTGTTCATGGTTTTCTTTGAACCGTAGTGACATCTGACCTCGTTGCAGTTTCCAGCCACCCACTCAGTGCTGCCAGCTGTTTAGCTAGAATATGCACCGCTCTGGAGCAGAAGTGGAACATCCAGTGAGGAAATTTTGGAAACAAACCTTATATAACTTAATGAGCTAAGTGGAACATCCATTGAAGGAATATATGCACCGCTATGGTTAACTGATAGTGTAGGTGAGTTATCCTTGCCTGCCGCAGATTCTTTTGGTGGAGAGACTTGAAGCTCTGTCTGTAAAACTATTAACATGGAATGTTTGAAGCGCTTATGTATCTATACATGATGATCGCGTTGCTTATGATTATTTGCATTGAGTTGAGCAGGTTGGAGTGAAAAGGTTCTGTTATTTGTTTGAAGCACCCTAACAAGGACATGATATACATTGTAAAATCTTGTGAAGCTGTTCTGTTACATCGCAAAATCTTTGTTTCTCAGTTACAGTTTCTTGTCATGCTGGCAGCCACCCAGGATGGGCGGTGGTAGGAGGATGTACCCTTCGACCTTCGTATATGTTACTAAGGCCCATTTGCTTGCTTGTTGGGGCTGTGCAAATTAATTCGATTGTAGCTCACTTTCTAAAATTGGAAGTGTCAGTAGTTTTAGAGTAATGTAAACTTCAGAATATTATCGCATCTTCTTAATACAAGGATGTCATTACAAATCTGGAATCACTCTGGCAATATACACATTATTATAGCAGGCAAACATCAGAATAAAAATTGATTTGATTCCAAAGTACTATTAGGAGTAATGAGAACTTTAGCATTATATGGTTCTTCTTAATCTTAACATAAGGAAGGTGTTATAAATCAGAAATCACTCCAGCTCAGAATTGAGTGCTCCATTCCGTCAGCATTCTTCAGATATGTGCTTCCCTTCTGAATTTCTGCTAGTTTAGTGTCTCAAAACCCAACAAAATGGGAAAGCTTCTACCTTGGCTGCACATGCATGCCTCTATATTTCGTAATTTCATCATCAGCATCAGTGATTTTGCTGCTACTAGAAATGTATTTTTGTACTTAATATTCTAAGTGAACATAGACGGCGGCACACAGTATGTTCAGTGTAGGTTCACGGGCATTTGGAATGTGCTGAGAGGCTTGACACGCCGGAGATCGACACCGCCGCTTGGGCCGGAATCCCTTTGGTCCACGAGTGGTGGACAAGGACGGTCCTTGCTCAATGGACACCTTTTAGTCTTGGGTGGTATGGAAAGAGAGATATGCGAAGGTGTTCCGGAAGAAATCCACAATGCCTACCAGGGTGCTAGAGGGCATCAACCACAGGAATTGGTACTTGACCGGGGCTAAACACTTGGGAAGTTGGGATCCTTGATGCCACGAGAGTAATCTTTTGTTTTCGCATTTGTTGAGGAGTAATGACCCTCATTGACACCTTGTTTAAACTCCTTTATTAATGAGATGAGGCAAAGATTTTGCATCCGTTTAAGAAATAAAATAAAGGATGCCTCTCTTGCTCACAAAATGTATGCATGATTTGTAACATTTGAAGGAAATGCAGAAACTTTTGTGCAACTTTATTATGTTTCAATGCATTGTTCTTCCAATTGGAATTGCGTTTACGCCAGAAAAATAGTGCTTTTGTACGAAAAAAAGAACTGTTGTAAATGAATAATACCTTTATGGTGTCCATTGGGATTGTACGACGTTGGGCAAATGACCTAGGAGGACAAGGGAAAACAAGGCAGGCTGTATCTTTCTACTCAGCACTCCTATGCCACATTTCTAGATTCACACATATGTTTGTCCCAATGCCTCCCATTTCAAGCGAATGCTCAGTTCACTTCGCCAAAAAAGATGGCATCGAGCTAAGATCGGCAGGATAGGCAGCTGAGGTGTTTGTGCACTCTGAATTCATCAGGTTCAGATAGTGCAGGACACTACAGATAAGAACATGAAGGGTCGCAGTATCTGCAGCACAAATTCCACATGCTTTGTGTTTAAATACATGTAAATTTGTTATCCTTTTTCGTATAAAGGAACGTGAATGGTGGAGTGGTTTAGCAGGCTTGGTACCAACGAATCTGTCCTTGGTGGTTTTACTCGGATCTGGTCGTAGTTCGTCTACATTGGTGTATCTTCAGGTTGTATCCCTCAGATCTATGCTACTCTTTAACGGCGGCGGTTGCTATTCTGGTGCTTTGGTCCTATGGGGCCTTCTCGACTTTCTACTAAAATAAATTTTGCCCAGCTTCGGCGAGGGACGGCGATGACGGCGGCGCTCCTTCGGCTCGCTTCAGTGCTTGTAGTAGACGTTACATGGTCTATGAATTTGGATGTAGTTATATTTTTTTGACCGGAACGGCAGGAGCTCTGCCTTTTCATTATATTAGAGGGAAAGGTTGTACAAGACTGCCGGAGCAGCAGCCGGAAAGGATTACATCAAGGAAGAAAAAGGGGAAAAAATGCTGAAGCCAAAGGCATCCAGTCATGCCATTCTCAGCTACTACTCCCCTGCCTCCTTAAGGTGGCCTAACGCATCTCTTGCAAGTAGCAGCACAGTAGACGTAGAGCAGGACGAGGCCTTGAAAATTCTGTTGTTTCTCTCAATCCAAAGGTGCCAAGCAATATACACTGCCGTAGTGCAATCATCGGTAGCATTGTCTTTCTTCTTGAGGCTTCTCACTTTACTCCACCAGTCTAGGATGGAAGTCGCACCCAAGGCTGCCTGAACAGCCGCAAGGTAGGAGCCACTAAATCTGAGCCAAACCTCTTTCGCAAAAGGGCAATCAAGGATCAGGTGCTTGGCAGATTCTAAGGTTTGGTCACAAAATGAGCAAGCATCGTTGTGACCCCAATTACGGTGTTCGTTATACAATCAGCATGTTTTATTCACTCTTCTTATAGGTCTTATGGATGGACTTTTGAAACGACTACCCACTAGACGATAGCAGTCTATTTCAATGACTTGCGGTCAGCTGAGCCACCCACCTCTATTCAGTATTTGACATTGGTCTTAAGATCTTGTCAAAAAATACTTTTGGAATATAAGAGAGACCATTCGCCATAAAAAAACTACTCTTTCACGTCTTCCTTCTTGTCTCAGTGCAACCTTTTCACACCCTGCTTACAAACTTTTCCTTCTATGGATGAATAAACTAACCATGTATGGAGTCTCTGCTCTCGAGCTTAAATGCATCCTTATGAATAGTAAACTAAAAATAAAAGTATAAAAAGAAAACATTTCAAATTGTTTCTGCAACAAATATTGTTCAACGTTTTACATATGTGCTGATTTCTGTAAAGAAAAAACATTCCTAATTCTCTGAGAAAATAAAATAAAATCAATGCTAAAAGAAACCTATTTTGAAAAGTACTTTGTAGAGCTGATTTTGATATTTTCACCCAAAGCTCCATGAAATGTGATTTCATCACGAAACTTTTGCACGCAGTTTACGAAAAGTGAGCAGTGTTTGTTGTTAAAAAATCAGATATTTTATTTATTTCACTGTTTATATTTTATTGTTGGGGCGAATTCAATTTCACTTTTTATGTGGGAGCATTTGAGCTCAAGATTAGAACGCCATTTTTGTCCATCGGTGATTCCAGATTTTCAGCTGCTTTGTACGTCACCATGGTGGAGTCTCATGCCACGGACTAATTCAACGCGACAGCAGCCATTCATCGAAACCTTGTCCTTTTTTGATAGAGGGGATGCACGAGCAGTACAATTTGACCGGAAAAATATGCCGCGATCATCACGCATATGTCGCTCGCGAGACGATTTTTCTCGCGGCAATGCTACTCGTACAATGCTACTCGCGACCCACCTCCGCCATTCACTTGCCTCTAAATTCGACTGCACCCCCTCTCATAATTCACCAGCAAACGGAAGCGCTCTACCATCACCATGTCACTGATCACAGCCACTTTCATGGCCCTTGCCTTGTGCTTCGCCCCTGGAGTGGGTGCAGCGGCGACGGTCTCGGCGCGGCGTCCGCTGCGGGGCTATGACACGCTGGTCTCCGCACAGGGCAAGTTCGAGCTCGGCCTCTTCAGCCCTGCTGGCAGCTCCGGCGACAGGTTCTACCTCGGGATCTGGTACAAGAACATCCCCGTTCAGACCGTCGCCTGGGTCGGCAACCGCGTGTCTCCCCTGTCCAGCGTCGCCACCTCCGAGCTCCGGGTGTCCGCTGACGACGGCAACCTCGAGCTGGTTGGTCTCACCGCCGCCTCGTCCTCGCCCGTCGTCGTGTGGTCTTCAAACCTGTCGTCTTCGTCTCTGTCATCGTCGCCGGGCTCGAACACCGCGGAGATCCGCGACGACGGCAACCTTGTCCTTGTCGACGGCGGCAATTCCTCCAACGTGCTGTGGCAGAGCTTCGACCACCCGACGGACACGCACATGTCGGGAGCGTGGCTGGGCGAGAACAAGCTCACCGGCGAGTACCAAGCGTTGACGTCGTGGCGGAACGCCCAGGACCCTGCGCCGGGGATGTTCACCGACACGGTGAACTCCAATGGCACCAGCGAGTTCGTCTTCATGTGGAACCGGTCCAGTACGTATTATCGGACCGGCGTTTGGACGGGGAGCTTCTTCAAGAACATACCGGAGACGGCTAGGGGGAACGTCCTGTTCAACCAGACGTACATGGAGACGCCGGCGTACCGGCGCCTCACCAATATCCTCTATAACAACGAGACCATCACGCGCTTGGTGCTTGATCTCACCGGACAGGCGAGGCAGTACGTCTGGGTCGAGAGCTGGCAACTGTTCTGGACAGCGCCCATCGTGCAGTGCGATGTGTACGCGCTCTGTGGTGCATTCGGCGTTTGCGACCAGAGGAGCGAGCTGCCTTGCCGGTGCCCGCCCGGGTTTGCTCCGGCGTCGGAGGCGGACTGGAAGCTCAGCGACTGGAGCGATGGCTGCCGTCGGAGCTCGCCGCTCACGTGCTCACGCAACGGGTCGACCACCGACGGGTTCCTAGAGCTGCCGGACGTGAAGCTCCCCGATGACTCGCTCGCCGTGGGCGCGGCCCAGAGCAAAGCAGAGTGTGAGTCTGCTTGTCAGAAGAGCTGCTCTTGCCAGGCCTACGCTTTCTCCAACGGGGGTTGCGCTGTATGGCACGGAGACCTCCGCAACGTTCAGCAGCTCTACGCGGACTCCGGCGTCTCCGGGTCAGACCTGTATCTCCGGCTCTCGGCAACAGGATTGCGAGACCTCCACAGCGTAGACCGGAAGAAAGGGGAGAATCATTGGCTTGTTCTTGGCATGACAATGGTCGGTGTTCTGGCATTGGGAGCATCGTTAATACTGGCCTGGAGGATTCTTGGTGCCCGGAGGAGGCGACTGGCCAGCATGGCCAACGAGAACTCTTTGACGGTGTACAGCTACGGCGACCTCCGTGCCGCCACCAAGAACTTTTCGGAGCGACTCGGCGGCGGCGGCTTCGGCTCGGTGTACCGCGGTGTCCTCAAGCAGCAAGTCCAAGTTGCAGTGAAGAAGCTGGAAACTCTTGGGCGGCAGGGCGACAAGCAATTCCGGACTGAGGTGAGCACGCTGGGGCTCATCCAGCACGTGAATCTCGTCCGGCTCCTCGGCTTCTGCTCGTTGGGCGACGAGAAAATGCTCGTGTACGAATACATGCCCCGGGGCTCCCTCGACCGCTACCTCTTCGGCGGTGGCGCGAGCCTGAGCTGGCGGGAACGGTACAGCATCATGATCGGCGTGGCGAGAGGGCTAGCCTACCTGCACCATGGCTGTCGCGAGTGCATCGTACACTGCGACATCAAGCCGGAGAACATCCTGCTGGACGAGGACATGTCGCCGAGGATCGCCGACTTCGGGATGGCGAAGCTGGTAGGGAGGGACTTCAGCCGCGCGCTGACGACGATGCGGGGCACCATCGGGTACCTCGCGCCGGAGTGGATCTCCGGGCAGCCCATCAGCGCCATGGTGGACGTGTATAGCTTTGGGATGGTGCTCTTCGAGCTCATCTCTGGACGGCGCAACTCCGAGGGATACAGCGAGGTGGAGGCGACAGGGACCATGGAGCGTGGGTCGTCGACCTTCTTCCCAGTGTGGGCCGCGGGGAAGGTCGTGGAAGGGGAAGTGAGCGTCGTGGCTGACCGGCGGCTGTACGGCGACGTGAGGCTGGAGGAGTTGGAGCGGGCGTGCAGGGTGGCGTGTTGGTGCATCCAGGGCGAGGAGGTGCAGCGCCCGACCATGGCGCAGGTCGTGCGGGTGCTGGAGGGCGCCGTCCAGGTGCACGCGTCGCCGGTGCCGCGGGCGCTGCAGCACCTCGTCACGCTCACGTAATACACATGCCACGCGCGCGAATTTTCTTACTAACCAATCGATTTCAGAACATGACAAGTATAGGAATGAGTGTACACATCTCGAAGTGCCGACCAAAATTGCAGCTTCTCGGTCGCATCGACTATTTTCCAAGTAGCTAGTCGCTTGTTTTCTCCTACTAGTAAGTTTGCACGTGTAACACACGTCTCGATTAAAGCAGCTTATTAAAATCACATGAGTATTGAATTCTTAATTCATATTCTAGAAATTTGGGGAAAAGGAATATCTATAGTGCCTGATGATCCCACATGTCTAAAGGTCAAGTTAATGCAAACCATCAATTATCTTTTGATGATGTCATTTGAAGTTCAAGAATACCAAAATGATTGTATAGTAAAGATTTCAGGATATATAATTTTTCTTGCCTGAACTTGAAGGACTTATAATAGGTATAGGCATTGTCCAAGTGAACATGACTGCAAATTTTTAATAAATATAAAAAAATAGTTGTCCTGAAAAAACTAAACCCGTTCCCTCTTGGGTTTCGTGCTACATGTTATCATCAGAAGTTGAATTGTTGGGCTTGACTACAACGCCACCGGTGGGAACGCGGCAAGCTAGAAGAGTTCCCCAGTAGTCATGACTATTTTGCTCCCATTCTGAGTTTGTCTCATCTCATGTAGTGCAACATATTCATGTACAAAAATGAAGAAATTTAATTTAACATTTTTGTATGACACAGGTGGCATGCAGCAAGCACAGTTTCTCTAAGCTAAGCTTAGTTCTGGAATGATTAAACATGAATTAAACTTTTCATATCAACATCCTAACTGTGGAGAAAATTCTAGTCTTCTAGAATGATAAACTGTGCAATAAGGTAAAAAGCCCTTAGTACAGCATGCACTAGAATAATAATTGGTTAGCTAACCAGGAAAAAAAACAAGCGAAATTTAGGAAGACAAAAGCCACACAAAATAAATTTCTGGTGAGACGAATATACCCTTAGGAAAATAAATCGCACCAATATCATGATGGACACACAAGTGGCAGGTTTAAAATGAAGCAAATGCATAATGTGATGCAACTATTAGTACATATTCCATTTGAAGCAACCTTATGTCAGTTAACTCGCAAAAAAGGGGGGACAAAACATACTGAAAATGCTAAATACTCGAATTTCCATGATAGCGATAGTGACTCACTTCCTGTGTAATGAAACTTCAGAGGTGTTCTTTAGAAAGTAAATGATTAGGTGCAAACCTGAAATACAGATACAAAATAGTCAAGTTATCTGTCATCATGGTTATCGAATCACGTAATGAAAAGCATGGAAGAAAGATAAGAAAAGTGCTTTCATTATGTATTGGAATATGAAATAGTTGTTCTGACTAAGCTTTTTAAGTGCAAGAAATGAACAGCATATCTTGCAAACTCTATACACAACATGCCTGCCCTATTTGGCTGCTGAACTTAAGCTCCTCCGTCCATTTTAGAGCCCCATTCTTAAAATAAAACAGGGTTATTGTTCATGCATAAAAATCTGATCATTCTACAAAGGGGGAGTGGTAGTTAAAAATTAATTCAGGAGCTATTATCAATATAAAATAAGAAGAAAAGAGAGAAATTTATTGTTAGCACTAATTCTGTACAATGTAAACTTGTCATAGTCTGGATCCTCCTTTATTTGGCCACTATTAGCAAAAAGTAGATCTATTTTTGTTGCAATTATTAACAAACGTATTGTTAGACCACAAATTAAATCGTCTTGCTGTTTAACATGTATGGCCACAAGCCCTAGCAGCAAAATAAAAGAAAAAATAGTTGTTGCAGCTAATTGTCGAAACTGCATGTATACATAAAACAGGAAAAAAATAGCAAAAAAATGGCAAAAAGTGCACTGATGATGGGCATATCTTTCCCCAATTGACATGTGGAAATTGTTGTCAGTGATAGGACCAAATGCACTGGCCAATTTGTGCCAGCAACTATGAATCAAAAATGGAAAAATAGACTCACCTGATTGAGCATCAAACGACAAAGAATACAGCTGCAAATACTCCAGGATAATGGTGCAGAGCATTGCGTAATACATGATTTATCTAGTTACGGCTGGTGTAGGAACTTATTCTGAATTTTCTGAAACCCAAAGGCAAATTTCAAACAAACTTCCTCCAATCTAGAAATCTAGAAAGCCCGACCAGTCTGAAAAGAGATACTGTAATTAAAAGAAAAAAACATATATGCATCAGTACAGAGGGAGTTCTGTTTACGACAACGCATGAAAAATATAGTGCATTAGTGCTACATCCCTGTAATAGCATCTATAGGACAACCATATAGAGATTTGAACAATAAAAATGAATGATAAAGGGATCTACATGAAGCAATACAATGGTGTAGGATCATGGAGAAAAGTAAAATATCTGGGAACTTCAATCTTGCAGGCACACATAGCGTTGGCCTTGTTTCCTGCGGATCGTCGTTCTGTTAGGAACATTTGGCTTCAGGCCTTTGGCTCTTCACCTCAAACCATTTTATTAAGTAAATAATATGCAAATAAACCCACATCGAACCCATGAGTTGGCGCGGCGATGGTCAGCCTCGGCTGCGACCTCATTAATCTAGCAGGTACAGTTTGGCGATTACTGGGAGCGGCTTCGGTGGTGGCTCATCTTCCCAGCCACCAATGGAGGAATGCAAGGGAACGACCAGAGATGGGGAAGCCATGCTGGGGTAGAGCTCTTGTGCTGGAAAAGGACAAGAATACATCATATATTTGTCATGCTTATGGTCATCAATTTCTTATACGCACAAGGATACTTCAAGAGAAAAAAAATATCATCAGTTAATTCATGGAAGTACCTAAGCAAAATCCCTACCGATGATCCACTTCCCGTATTGAAAATGGTGATAACCAAGGTCTATATGAAGTACTGAAATTTCAATAAGTGTGCTTAGTAAAGGTTATGCTGACATACTAGTTTCATTAGGGGTACACGAAATCAACAGTCACCTGGACGTACTTCCCTTCATGACACCAGCCGGGCCTCCCCTGAATCCATACATGGGTAATCAGATCCACAACATCAACCATGACAAGTCAACGACAAGAATTATTCAGGAAACACATCAAAGCAACAAAATCTAACAAGATATATCCTCAGATTTTCATCAGAGAAGAGACTAACGCAGTGCACTAACACCTTTTTAATTCAATAATGAACACCTACTTCCAATTTCAATTGGTCTCAGCTAGTGCTAAAGGAACGTGCAGCTAGAGATCACTCACACTTACCAGAGACATCACAGATCACATTCTGCCCCTAGAGCCTAGCCACCAGAAAGCACGACGACTGATCTTGAGCAACTTCATTGCGGCCGGCTCCGCCGAAGGCTGGCCGTACAAGTTGGGGAACAGCTTGGCGATCTCATCTGCGACAGATCGAGTCATGGCCGTCAAAACGCAAAATAAAAGAAGCCCAGACCGCGATTCTGCAGGCCAAGGTCCGGGAGCGACGCATCCCAGGAAATAGGGAGTTCATTACTCACCGGGGCTTCCCGTGGCGGTGGTGGTTGGCCCGTCGGCGAGCGTGAAATAGAAGCGGAGGGCGCGGCGGCGACCTATGGCGAAGGGCGCGGCGGCGATCGCGACCCGCGGCGAAGGGCGGCTCCGGCGGCCTGCGGCCCGCGGCGAAGGGCGCGGCGGCTCGGGCGGTGAACTGCGGCAAAGGGTGCGGCGGCGACCGCGGCCCGCGGCGAAGGGAGGCTCCGGCGGCGGCTCGGCGACCTGCGGCCCGCGCCCGGCTGCGGGAGAAATGGCGCGGGAGGAGGAACGGCGTGGGGGAGTCGTGCGGGCGAGGCGAGAGTCGTGCGAACGGTTTCTTTTTTTAGCGGCGGGGTAGGGTTAGCGATCGATGGATTGTTGGCTTATAATGTGTGGCTTGCTGCGTTAAACACGGAATGATTATGGGCCATCAGATTTTATAGATGGACGGGTATTATTATTTGGATCTGTCACCTCTCTCTCTTTTATAGGGGTAGTAGATTCACAATGACCATCGTAACAACAATATCTGAACATTTCTCTTTTCGGTATCAATTTAGCTATAAGTAAGTTACCAAAATTTCAAATTTGGGTTGGTCATTTTTGATTGGGAACGAAGAAGGCGGTGAGACAGAGCACCGAGGCCGTCGAAAGCACTGCCGGGGACGTCGGCAAAGTCTCAGCCAGAAACGAGTTGCACTTGGCGGTGAGCCGGCAGAGGCAAGTTCAAAGGTTGACGATTCAGGATGCGGGTTCGCCGCTACATTCAGGTTGTTAGGTACTCCCTTTTTTCCTATAATATAAGAGCGTTTTTTATACTAGTGTAGTGTTAAAACGCTTTCATATTATGGAGCGAAGGGAGTAGTTCAGAGGGATTGCGGTGGTGGCACAAACAAGGCGGTGGGTGACGGTGAGGGGATGGTAGGGTAACATGGCTGTCGCGAGAGCACCACCGCACACGGGCGGCAGAGGTAGGCAGTTCAACCAGTGGTCGCTAGCTGTTTGGGAGAAGGCGTTGAACAGGGGAGATCGGAAGATATAAGAAGTCCATCTGACCATTGGAGATTCACATCTGGCCAGTACATTGTAGTGTGAGCAACTAATTAACGAGCGCTCCTTCGGGAGCCTCGCAACGATCAGCGCCACTTGGCGTGCTCACAGCCATTCGCCACGTGTCGCGCTCTGGACGCTCCTTCCGAATTTTGTTTTTTATTTTTACGCACGCGTTTTCGGCTTTTTAAAAGGTTTTTTTTGTTTTTTTTACGTTTTGGTTTTCTACCGGTCTTCCCTAGCTTTTCGACCAAATTTTTTTTTCAAAAAAAATATTTTTTTTGCACAAAAAAATGCATTTTTTTTGTGAGAGGCACGGTTTTGCTTTCGCCAGAGGCACGGTTGTACTTTCGCGAGAGGCAAGGGCGTGCCTCTTTCGGAAAGGGAAAGAAACGTGTTTTCTGTTTTTTTTTTCTTTCGCGAGAGG